TTCAATTGTCTTTATTTAGAATAAGATTTAAAATTTAGGGTCAAATGTGTACAATTGAAAAATCAAGAACTAAAGGGACAAAAACTCTAAACTATAAGGACTGTTAGTGTAATTTATCTAATTTTTTTAATAATTTCTCGTTGACTAGCTTTTTTTCTTTTTTTGACTAGCTTAAGACCTGAGGTCACCTTCTATATGTTTTTGTATGTCTAATTCATTTGTCTTTTGGCATCTGCAAATCTTTTTTATACCTTCATTCCATCAACTAATTCTTGCCATTGTTGTAGTTCATTGTTCTCGACGATTAATGAATCTTTGAGATGTTTTAGCAAAGTGGGAGTTTCTTTGCTTATCAACTAGTGTCCAAGTATCTAAGAAAACTTTGGATCATCATTAATTGAGGTAATTATTAACTCTTAACTAATTTATATTTATACTTGAAATTTTGATAATATCTATTCTTAGAAGGGAAAAGTTAGGGATCATGAAAATTTTTTCATGAAAATGATCATGAAAAATTTATGATCTTTGGATTATCTTGATTAGTGTGTCGTGCTTTATTCTACGTGTAATCCAAGGGTCATAAAGCTTTCATGATTATTTTCATGAAAGGTTTTTCATGATATCTAGCATTGCTGTTCTTAGAATACATATTAAAAAGTTAAACAAATTATATATTTTGTAAAAAAATACGTGTAACAAATAATGTATAATATTTGTAAGTTTTTTAAACAAATACAAATAAGGCTATTATTTGAATTATGAATTCCATTATATTTTTTTTTAAATGAAAATATGAACAAAATATAACGTAAACAAAAATTTATAATTCAAACATACTGGATAAAAAGGCACAATAAGAGCATCTTCAACGGTTCACCAAATTTTTCACCAAATCTGAGTAAAAAAATCACTATTTTCTCAATTTGATACAGACGGCTCCAACGGTTCACTTTTTATCAAATCTGCTCCGGGACAACCGGTTGGTCGACCGGTAAGAGAAATTTTTTTTTTTTTGGAATTGTTTGAACCAATAAAGTTGAACTGTTTGAACCTTTTAGTGGTGGACCGTGTGACACCCAGAATCTACACTATCGGTTGCAGTCAAGGGAGAGTCACTAATGAGTCCTATAGTCAATAACCAAGTAAGATCCCAGATCGCCGGATGAGTCAAATTAGCCTCCCTTCTAAGTCCGGCTTTCTTAGGCAGCACACTACCCTTTTGACAGATCTTAAAAGGTATTGACACAAGGTCTCATAAGCAACGATAAGGTTCATACATATAAATATATAGAACATAAGTACATAACAACCTCGAATATTCTTAATTCCAAAGGCTTGTTCCATTACATTTTATCCCAAAAGGAAAATTTAAATCTTCACATGAGCCTTACAAAATATCAAAAGGGATTTCTAACTTTCCTAAGATGGCCAAAAGTCTTCGAAGGTTTCAGGTTTGCCATTTCCAGCTATAAGCTCCTCTTCGGCACCAGGCATGGTACGCCGTGAGCTTTGAATGCCCAGTAAACACACACACACCCCATCTTTTTTTTCCAGTCCAATACACAATCACAAATATAACATCAAATAGTAAAGCATGATACTCAACCAAATAAACAAAGGGCTACAAGTTAGATGTTAGTAAACTAGAAATCCCCCAAAGAGATTTCGTCCTCCCAACCACAAGAATTGGATACCGGACTATTCGGAACTCCCCCTTTTGCTGCTTTGTTGCAAAACTAACCTCGGATGCCTACCAACGGTTATATACCGCGTAGCGCCAACCACAGGGCCTCAAAAGGGACAGCGAAAAGAAAAAGTTTTATCTCCTGAATCCAACCTCATCCTTCTAGAAAAAGTTTTATCATCCTGAATGTCCCATCCGGACCCAACCTTATCTCACCATTCAAACCGTCGCAAGGAGTCCGAATACGTCCGTTCCATTCTAGGGTTTACGCGACAACTGCTTGCGCAAGACTTTAACGTTCAAATAGGGAACGCATCCCAAAATTCCATATATCACATATTCTCATCTTTTCATTACTCAAGTGCTCGAAAACCCAATACCCTCCCAATTAGGTTTCCCGTTGAAGTTAAATGTTTTACATCGAGGTTAGTCTAATTGATAAGACAATAATATCCACATAAGCATGCATCCTTAAGACGAGAAAGATAAATAACATAACCATAACACATATAATATCATGCCAAGATATGCTCATAAGTAAGTAGGCAATTTCATGAATTCAATGGCATAAAACATCCATGCATAACACAGTTTCCAGATTCAACATCACATAAAGATTAAAATGAAAGGACTATTTTAGATCTTCCACCGGACTCGGTCTTCCTATAGTTCGTAGAGAATTTGATCTAGTTTCTAGAACATTTTTCGGAAATGGGATTGTTTTTCCAGATTTTAAGTTATTTAGAAAATACTCCAGCGCTGTCCAGAATCTGTCCAGATTCGTCGACTGTTACAAAAATTTGATTTTCTTGCAAACCGCTTGATGTTTTTCGATGAAACTAATTTTAGTTAAAAGCTAACATCTTAAGGAATGTTTTGATATAAAATAGAGGTCCAGAATAATTTTGTACATTTTTCTAGAATTTCTGGAAGTGGGCTGAAAAAAAACAGATTCTAAGGTGCTTTGCCCAAAACAAGAAGATTTATGAAAAAAGGGTTCCATCCAGGGAAAGTTTCATTTTTGTGAAGAAAATATGCTGACTATCACATGTTTGACTCAGAAATTTTTTTTGAAAGAGTGCTCATGAAAAGTTGAGAGATTGGTACAAAAAGAAGATGGTTTTGTGCCAAAATGGGGAAAATACAAGAGAGATGGAATCAATGCTCAATTTTTAGCATTTTTAACAAAAGTAACTCATCAATAACAGATCTGAAAACATTATTTAGAACCCTTGGAAACATGTATTTGAAAAAGGAAAATGAAAGAGAAAGTTGTGTTGTGGCTTACCTACAAAGCTTTGCACAAGAAGCTCTCTTCTTCCTCCTTCTTCTCCTCTAGACTTCTCTTTCTTGCTCTTCTCCCTCTCTCTAACCTAATGTGTGTATGTGGGTGTGGTGTTTGTGCTTTGCCAAGCTAGGGGAGGTTGATATTTATAGATAATTCATGATGTAAAATGTCCTAAAAGCCCACTATTTGGAAATGGATGGAAAGGTTAGGATTTGTTTGAAGTGTTAAAGGAAAAGGGATGGTTTGGGAGGCTTACTCAAGGATTTGGGAAGATTTAGTTAAAATAGAACTAGTTTAGGAATTAGCATCCTAGGTCTAGGGTACTAGGTGGTGTTTCTTTCAAGAATTTCATGATGATATATCTTGAAAGTTGTCTCTTCACGTTTCGCTATGGTGGCTGGCCCTTGGGAAGGGTGATGGGGGTTATTATTTTAATCATTTTTTGTATTAGGGGCACAGTTCCCAATGTATGCATATATATATATATATAGATTTCAATTGATTGATGGTACTAATAGTATTAGGGTACATGTACTATTTTTGGGGTAATTCTTAATAAAAGAAATGAGGGCTTGGAATTAAATTCATGTATTGGAACCTTACTTATGTATTTAATTATGATCTAGTTAGGTTTAGGGCTAATTTAAATACTCATAGCAAATCTTTATTGGTACCAAAGTCATTATTGCTCCAAGATTCAAGGGATTTTTTTGTACTAAAGTATAATGGTGACGGCTAGTCATGTCCTTGAGATTTGGGGAGATTTCCCTATTTATTTTGTGTACAAATCTTGGAAATTATAAAACATAATGTTAAAAAAAGATTTTAGGGTACAAGTGTATATATAAATATATAATGGTACTTGTTTGAGGTCAATTTGTGATTTAATAAAAATGTGAGGTCTTGGGCTATAAATTAGTGTTTAGGAAAAATAATTCGGTTTGTATTATCTTGTTTTGAATTTAAAGGTAAATAACTGAATGAAGACTGCAAAAATCGAAAGTTAGGGTTTAGAGCAATTAATCTAAAATTTGAGAGTAAAATAATTAATATTAGAGTGTTATAAATGATTTCTAAGCTTCTAGGGTAGATTAGGGTTTGTATCGGTTCGTCCGTGATATGTTTTCGGTTCTAAGGTTTAATTTGTGAGCAATCAACGAATTAAAGGCTTTATTATAGTAACTCAAAATTTTGGGACCTAATAAGGTTTACAAAAGTTAGGGGTCTCACAGACCGGCTAGTCGACCGGTAAGACAAATTTTTCTTTTTTTGAACTTATAAATTTGAACTGTTTGAACTTTTTCGTGGTCAACCGGTTAGTCAACCGGCGGGGCAACCGACTGGTTGACCGGTTCCTCTCCTCCAACGGTTGCGCATAGTAATTTGATGAAATCTGTACACTATTCTCACTTTAATGAATTTTTTGGTGAATTTTCAATTTGATACCGATTTGGTGCAACCATTGGAGCACCAAACAGTAACTTTTTCACCAAAATTTAAATTTGATGTCAAGTTTGGTGAACCGTTGGAGATGGTCTAATCAATCAGTAGCAAAAATTTATTAATTTGTATGACATTTTTCATTATGTTATTTAGGCCTCGTTTGAGAACATGCTAATTTAATAATTTTTTAGTTATTTGGTTAAAATATGAACTAAAAAAAACTAGTATGTTTGGGATGACTTTTGTGTTTTTTACGAAAAGATGTGCAAAAAGTAGAGAGAAAAGAGAATCTTTAATTTTTTTGTATGAGTTGTTGACTTTTTGACTTTTTAGTAATTTTTTGACTTTTTGACTAAACCGGCCTGTTGTCAAACGTGGCCTTAGTATACAATTTTTTTTTTTTATAAAAATAAAAATAATTTGGTAAAAAAATGAAAAATAAAAAACAAATTAAACCGGGTGAATTACATGTCATAACTTAACCACTATCTTCTGTCTCTCTCTGTCTCTCTCTTCCGCCGTCACCTTCGGAAGGCTGCGCAGTGGCGATGGTGGTGGGAGGCGCTGCGCTGGAGGGGGGGGTTTAGGGTCTGTTTGTTTTCCGACCCAGAGAGAGAGAGAGAGAGAGAGAGTTAAGAAGAGGAGAGGGGTAGGGAGTTTATTACAAAAGCAGTTTGCTGCACCGTCAAAAACCCAACCAGAACTATGCAAAATGATGAAATTGAGGCAAAAAACAGAGCACCAAATTGAGGCATTTCCACAAAGTACACAGGAGGAGAGGGCTGGAATTAGAGATAAAGCTGATGCAAAAAGCCTCTGTAGTGAATTTGACAATGTTCACTTCAGGTTTTTATTCATCTCTGCAAAAATAAAAAATAAAATAAAATTTTGATGGTGTTTGAGCATTGCAATTACACAAATTGCACCAGTGTACAGTGCTGACAACACTTATATATATATATGTAATTCTTGTTTTATCAGCATAATTTATATTTAATAAATGTGCTAAATACATTTCTGTATCTGTATATGTATAAGCTTCAATTATTTCACATTTGGTCTCATTCTTTTTCTTTAAAGATTTAAGTGCAAAGCTGTGAAGTAGTAGTGTGCATTTGATATAAGAGGGCACACCAATGGAAGGGGGAATACGAAATGGACCTGAAATTCAGATTGTAACTTCACCTCAGCTGATTGCTCCTTCTTGTGATCTACTCTCTCGTAAGCTCTCTCTCTCCCTATTGTTTTTTCAGGTGTGTATTTAGTGAGGTAAATCCTACTATGTATCCATGAACTTCGTATTTTATGTAACAGAAATGTCAAGCCTTACAATATTTGTTGGTCATTAAGAATAAAAATGTCCTTGTTATAAAAATTTTGTATGATCAGCATTTTCTTGAAAATGGGGCGAGAAAAGCAGGTTTATGTTGTAGTTATCTTAATGACCAATTTTTAGTTATGCCATAAAATGATTTCATTATCTCTGCTTTTTTGTTTATTTGACTTAATTTTTGGCTAATTGTGATATTAGTTTTGGAAAATTGGATACGATGATATGTGCTACAAATTTTACACAGGAGAAGCTAGGGATCAGTATCTTGTCATATGTCTACCCCTCTACCAAGCTGCTTTGAAGGGTGACTGGAAAGCTGCTAATGGTGTCATAGAAATATTTCCAACTGTGATACTCCCTCCGTCCCAAAATATTAGTTCCTTATTCCATTTTTCATTGTCCCAAAATATTAGTCCCTCTTCAAAAATCAAGTACAAAAATAATATAATTTTTTTATTTTGCCCTTCTTTTAAATTAATAAACAATATAAAAGGTACAATAATGACATTAATATTCCCAAAACATGTACTATCAAAAGGATAATTTTGGAAAATTAACTTTTTTTCAAATGCAATAATTGTACTATCAAAAAAAATTGAATTCCCCAAAAGAGACCATTATTTTGGAACGGAGGGAGTACGTTCTAGCATCACAAAAGGGGTGGGAAACTGCACTTCACATTGCAGCAGCCGCGAAGCGCATTCACTTTGTGGAGGAGTTGGTGGGACTGATGAATCCTGAAAGACTTGGAACTTCAAAACAGTAATGGGAACACTGCCCTATGTTTTGCGGCTGCTGCTGGAACTGTGAGAATTGCTGAAGTGATGATTAACAAGAACGAACACCTGCCAATGATCCGTGGTAGCCAGGGAATGACACCACTGTGTATGGCTGCTTTGTTAGGACATAGTGACATGGTATGGTATCTCTACCAAAAGACTAAGAGTGAAGATTTGTCAGATGAGGAACGAATTGGGATACTCAATACCTGTGTTAGTACAGATTTGTATGGTAAGTAAATATTCAAACCTTTTCTTTTCAGCCTGCCTAAAAAGAGTTACTTGCTTTGAGTCACTTCTTGATTAAGATATGCGTCAATTTTATGGTGCAACAAACTCCAACCCATTTCTTGTCATCATAAAATACTCCCTTCCATCATGTAATGGATTGACAAATATATTGTCCAACAGTAAATCGTGTCCATAATTGCTTTTCAATCAAACACAAGTGGGGCAACAAAAATACAACACTTTCATTTTATAGTTGTGAAACCTTTCTTTTTGACCCAAAAAAAAAAACAAAAAAAAAATTAAATAAATAAAAAAGCACAAAACTTGCTGACCCACCATCTTTTGGTTTAGCAAAATGGTGGATGCACTTAATCCACTTCAATGCTTTTTGGTGAAACACAAGGAAAAGAAGATGGTTTTTCACTAAACAAAACAAACTACAACAAGATTTCCCAAAAAAGAAAAGAGAAACTAATAATAAGAATTTTTTTAAAATAAACAATTAACTAAATAAAATAAAAATAGGTAAATGAAATAAGACTTAACAACTTTTGCATCTTCTTGTTGAGTAACTATTATATATATTGTTAAATTGTGTAGATGTAGCATTGGACATATTGAAACACCACCCACAGCTGGCAGTGGCTCGAGATGGGAATGGTGAGACAGCATTGCATGTACTGGCTCGAAAACCTTCAGCATTTACTGGTGGAAGTCAGGTTAGCATGTGGAAAAGATTCATCAACACATGTTAGTTTCTCCAATCATCACTTCTCATCCATTTATTTTACTAGCTTCTCATGAATAGATCTGCTCAATGGGGACATTCTATTACAAGCCTAGGTACTCTCTATCATATAACCTGATGGAAAAGGACTCGTAAATTGTGAGTTTAGACTCAGTAAAATATAAGTAACTATTCTTTCAGTTTGGAGTGGTCAGGGAAGTATTTATACCCTGAAAAAACAGAACAAAATGATCTAAAGCAACTGAGAAAACTTTAAGCGCACCTGTGTATAATATGGAATCTACTACATAAAACACAAAATGATATTTCCCAGCCTACATCTTGACAACAATATTTGCTTTTGAAACTTACTAAAAGAGGTCATTGGCTCCATTGAATAAATTGCATTTTCTGATAAATGCTTTTGTTGTAGTGCATAATTCTTGACCTTTGGAAAATGTACATATGGATCTGATTAAAATAGTTTCTACTTCCTACAATTCATCATTTCCCCAATTTCTAATTTTCCACCTATGAATATTGTTTTGTTTAAATGCTTTATTTGATAAGTTTATAATTTTGGAGGATTTACACCTTTCTATCATACCTAACTTGTTACTACCTTAGCTGCTTGACGTACATGATCATTCACTTTAAGTAAGTAGGCTCGGCATAGTTTGCGTAAAGGAATGTAATATATGATGGTATCCTCTTTCCCAACTCCTGATTGTCTTTTGATGTGTTGAGCTTTGGAATCTTCATTTGAAGCCATCAAATACTGGACCTATTGATTGCATCATGTGGGTGCTTGTTGAGATCTTTCTAAGAAGTTCAGGAAGGGATGAGAAGGACCATACCATTGTTATTTAAGAAAGTATCGTGGTAAAAATCTCTCTTGTAAACAGAACAAGGTATTCTCGATGAAATCAAAGATCATGACGAATAAATTAAATTTCATGTAGATTACTAGACAGTAAAAAATGCTTCTCTATCAAAATACTGATTAAAATGTCAAGATTTGAACTTGAGAGAGTAAGAAAAATGCATGTCATTAAGTTTTGGAAATTCACAACCACATCACCTGATTCTCGATACATATCACTTAGTACTTCTCATACCATTACACCAAAATTGTTGTTGATTCGTCTCCCAATACTTCGATTTAGAACCATGATGAAAATTGTGTCAACCACTATTGGTAGAAAAACACAACTTTATAAAGAATAAACGAAAAATAAGTTTTATTTTATAATTATATTGTTTTTGTGTTTGGAAATGATATGAAGATTGTACCAATTGCTCTTTTTGACCCCTCTCTTGCTCTTATTTTTAACATTCTTCAAACTGCAAATAATTAGTGGGTTGTTATTGCTGCTTTTATTGAATAATTTTCTCTAGAAAATTCATGATCAGTTAAAATGCTTTGTTCTCAGTTCCAGGTAGGAAGGTAGGACATGATAAAAGTCTGAAGCAAGCCCAAGCATTTGAACTAGTTAGATTGTTATGGAAAATGGTGATAAAGCAAGATGATTCAGAGATTTCGGACTTGATCCGAAGCCCTTCACGACTTCTCCTTTGTTGCGGCAGAGCATGGAAACACCAAGTTCTTGATTGAGCTTATTGAAGGTATCCTGATTTGATATGGAAAGTAAATAGCCAGAACCAAAGCATATTTCACCTTGCCGTTTTACATCGTCATGCAGGAATATTCAATATTTTATATGAGATAGGCTTGATTAAGGATTTAATTACTGCATATAGAGATGAAGATCGTAATAATATGTTGCATTTGGCTGCGAAGATAGCACCCCCAAATCAACTTAATATCGTGTCAGGGGCAGCTCTTCAAATGCAAAGAGAGCTACTGTGGTTTAAGGTAAACATTTCCACTCGGTTAGTAATTTCAAAATTTTGATTTTTCCTAGTGCTTTACATAACTAATTTTACTGTTGGCTATATTTTTCTAAACACATGATTGAATTCTTAAGTCCAACATGACATCCACATTGGCACTTGAATTTGGTGGGTTTGCAATGGACTAACCATATCATTGGTGAATAAAATCATAGTTCATCAAAGAACGAATCATGATGAAGAGCAAAAAGGCCACCTATAGCTTCTTGTTTCTAGCATAGGTTTTATTTGTTATTTGAAGTCAATCAGATTATACTTCATTATTGCACCGTTCTCTAGCAAACTTTATTGCTGTAATGTTTTAAAGATTCTATTTTCGTAATAATTGATTTTTATAGTCTTTCATAATATGGTCCCTTGTCAATGTGATGGTCATGGTCCTGAAAGATTTAATGAATGCTCATTTCAATTGTTCGAAAATTTGTTTATTGCTCTTTCCTTCTCTTTTCTTCTCAGAAAATACTATAAAACTCAAAACTAAGGAAGTTTACAAATTTTTCCTTACTCACAGACGTGGCATACAGTAATAGAACTTTTGCTGGTTTTTGTTCATCGGAAGGTGTAGATGACCTAGTGCTATTCTACTTGTCAGTTTCTTACCTTCTCTCTTTCCCCATTTTGTTGTGTTTTATTATCTCCAATAAAATTTTACTTTCTTTTTGCGGATAAAAAAAGATTAAAAAAGAGAATTTATGAATTTAAAACAGGACCCACTAAAATAGTGTGATCGGAGCAACACATGTGGTAGTTTGTAAAATTTGTTAGTTTGAATAGCATAACTCTACCTTTTCTCTCTTTTTATTTTTGTCCGCTTAGTGAAAGGATAACATACATCATTTTGGTCGTTGCAGGAGGTGGAAAAGATTATGCAACCTTCATATGTAGAAAAGAAAAACTCAAAAGGCAAAACACCTCGAGCTTTATTTACTGAGGAGCACAAAAACTTAGTTGAGAAAGGGGAGGCATGGATGAAGAACACCGCCTGCCAATCTATGGTTGTTGCAACACTTATAGCCACCGTAATGTTTGCTGCAGCTTTTACTGCACCAGGCGGCAATAACAACAATACAGGAATCCCAATGTTTCGAAAGCATAGTTCCTTCATGGTTTTTGCAATATCAGATGCCATAGCATTAGTCACCTCTTCCACTTCAATACTCATGTTCTTATCTATACTCACCTCACGCTATGCTGAAAATGATTTCGTCGAATCATTGCCCTTTAAGCTCATGATTGGACTCACGACAGTCTTCATCTCCATAACTACCATGATGGTAGCTTTTTGTGCGACATTTTTCATTGTTTTTTACCGTTATACGGTATGGGTACCAATCGCTGTCGCCTTGTTTGCCTGCGTGCCTATCATTTTGTTTGCTACCCTCCAATATCCTCTTTTGGCAGATGTGATCCATTCAACCTACGCTTCCAGGTTATTGTTTCAGCCAAGGAAACATATGCTTTACTAGCATAATCCAAGTCATATATAAGTAGTGTGTCTACTTTCAGTTGTGGGATCATGAGTTGTGTATTTTAATTTTGAATAGTACTTCTATTGTGTTTGTGTTTGCTTTTGTTTTTGTTTTTGTCACGACCCAAACTCGGCCCTATGGGTTTAGCACCGTAACCGGCCAGTAATCCGAGATTACCAAAGGCCTGCAGAACAGTCGTATAGTAAAACAGAGTACAGGGCCTGGCGGAAGCCAATACAGTAAATAAATAATGTCCATTGAGCTGTGACAGTCTGTATGCCAAAAAGATTTTTCATGCATTCACATTGCAAACAGTACAGAACGGTATGCACAATATTTACAATCATTCGGACTAGGGACTCAATCCTAGATAACAGTACGGTAAACATTCAGTCTATACAAAACAGTAGACGGTACAGAAGGGGGAATTGTAAAACACCCCTAAGCCTTAACACGATAGGCTCGGAACCTCGCAGTGAGGCACATAGGCTGGCTTGACAAAACTGGAGTCTAACCCTGACGCTCCTAGCTCCGATCTGGTGCCTGTACACCTACATATATATATAAACAGTGAGCTAAAGCCCAGTGAATAACATAATGCGTAAAGAGGTTATTTGGATAACCTTATTTTTCTGAAAATGAGGAATCTAGCTTTATGTTTACTTTCAGTTCAAAAAAAAGCTTTATGTTTACATCCAATAGACAGATGGAGAGTGCAGGCACTTGTAGTTGTAGTAGTAACGAGTTCATATATATATGTACATATATTATTTTAATGCCCTTGTTGCGCAATCCATTAGTTGATAACTGAGATTACTTCAGTGTCTTTTTTTTTTTTTTTTCTCGAAGGAAGGAGTTGAAAAGTTTTGTTTTAATACTATGTTATCATTG